GGGGCAATTAGCAGCAACCGAAACTCACTCTGTCTTCTCAATCAACTGGGGAGCGTAGAGAAGAACGTAGGCGCAGTGCCAGTCGCCTCCACCGGAAAGCTTCAGCACATCTTCAACGTGCACCGGTGACACCTTGTCATCGTCACACTTGAACCACTGGTCTGCAAATTGAGAAAACCAAAATAAGACAACATAATAAAAACCAAAAACCAATATGATTACCGTTTTTCTTGATCCAGCCGACGTAGTGGCCACTCGAGCTGGAGCGACCCTTGTGAGTAAGTACGGCGTTCAGCGTGTACAGACCGGAGTTGTTCGAGCCAGTGTCGTCCTCAAACGAGAACGGATAGTAAGTCTTTTTGGCGTCCTTCTCGACAGCCTTCTGAGCACGTTCGACTTTGCTGTCCTCGAGTTCCTTAAACTTCTGACGCATTGGCTGAAGCTTGGCTTGCAGCTCAGGAGTGCAGAGATCGAAGAGGTCAAGATTCATAGGAAACTTGACATCCTTTAGAATCTTGGCGTTTATCGCGTTCTTTTCCTTGTAGAAGAAGCGGACAAAGTTGATCGTTAAATATGCAGGAAGTCGAGAGATTTTGGAAGATTTTAAGTAATGGGCATCTCGATTCAGTGTCGGCGATTGCTTGACGATTTCTTCTTCTAGGCGAGATTTTAAGCCAGAATGAAGGTACTTGACATCTGTCAATAATTGGTGAAAAGTTAAATACTTGTAGTGAATTAAACGACTGTGAAACCCACCTTGTGAAATAAAACAACTCAACTGCAAAAAAGACTCAGTAGAAGTGGTCGCCTCTTCTTGGTCATTGTCTTTGCAGGTCATCTTTGAAACAAACTGACCACCAAAGTACTTGCCAATGAAGTCGGCTGCTGAATCGCCAGCCTTGATCTTCAGCTTCTGTTGAAGAACCTTTACCAGCTCAGACCAGCACTCGTTGGCGTCTTGCTGGGCAAAGAGGCCGTTTTCTCCCTTCTCGGCAAACTGGGGGAACATAATGTGCAGCATTTCAAGCAGGATAATCGGCATAACAGCCGCTGTATTGCCCATCTTGTCATTAACATCACGCAGGGCGGCAACAATATCATGTGAACCGTCAAATGACTCTCCCAGGCTTGCAGTTCCAGTGTGACTGTGGAGAATGGCAGAATAGGTTTAAAGTAAGAAACAACCAGAGATGAATAAGTTGACTTACTTTTTCAAGCATTCGCAAAGCTCGGGCACGGTGAGCAAGCACTGAATGGTGGCATTCAGGTAGCAAGTGTTGCCCAGGTTAAAGAGTCCAGCCGGCAAGTCCATAGCAGATGCAAGTTCGTTCTCGTTCATATCTTCCATGAAGACGACCTTATCTTTGGGAACCTCGGGCAGTTCTTCACAAGAGCCCATCATGAGAAAGGTAGCGCCCTGAAATGTAGAGCAATGTAAGTATTGTTTACTTTGTTTACCAACTTACGTTTTTGATAACTTTGAGAGTTGCTGGATTCCATTCGTCATCTTTGATGACGGATCCCTTGAACATCACCTTTTGGCGTTCAGGGCTGACGCCGGTAAGTCCAAAGATTTGCGCCTTGAAGACATTTGGCGTCTCGGTGGTGTTCAACTCGAGATCGTACGTTTCCTTGTTCCATTTGACTTTAACTTTAGAAAAGAAAGAAAAATCACCCGGCGACAGCTGTTAGCACATGAAGGGAAGAGTCAACAGAATTTAACATGAGCATTACCATTGAAGGTAGTCATCGTTGCAGGAGTTGGTAAACGCGAAAGCGCCGCAGAATGTAACGTTGGAACTAAAAATGAAGAGCTGAATTAGTGAAGGTTGAGAGAATTGATGCGTCAGTTAAATCGGATTTTTGGCAAAAGTGATGTTTGCGGCAAACAAAACAGACTGGCTGTAGCATAAAGTGGTGAATGCACGCAAAAAGGCATTGACGGTGACAGGATCGGTGTAAATAGCGTAAACAAAAAAAAACGA